TTTGGGGGATCATGGTGTTGAAGGCGGATGTGAAGTCCACAAAGAGCATACGGACGTAAGAGTTTTTCTGCTCCAGGTGGTTGAGTGCAGTGTGGACCACAGAGGAGATTGCATCCTCTGTTGATCGGTTCTCACGGTATGCATACTGATGAGGGTCCTCGTTGATGTTGATGGTTGTTTTGATGTGAGTCATGACCAGTTTTTCGAAGCATTTAGCGACTATCGGGGTGAGGGCCACTGGCCGATAGTCATTCAGACCAGTCACTGTAGAGCTTTTTGGGACTGGGATGATGGTGGCAGTCTTCAGGCAGGTGGGAACCGTCTCCAGGGTAAGTGAGGTGTTAAAGATGTCTGCCAGCACCTCACAGAGCTGATCAGCACATTCCTTCAACACTTTTCCGGGGATGTTGTCTGGGCCAGTTGCTTTGTGCGGATTAATCCTCCTGAAGGTACTCCTTACTTCTGCTGAGGTCACGCTGAGATGCTCTTCATCCGGTGGTGAGGTGAGTCTGGTGCTGGGTGGTCTGTTCGGGTCTTCAAAGCGTGCATAGAACTTGTTGAGGGCATCAGGCAGAGATGGGTCTTTGGGGCATTGTTCACTCCTTCCTTTATAATCTGTTATGCACTTAATGCCCCTCCACATGCTCCGAGGTTCTTGTGAGATGAATTGACCCTCGATCCTCTTTGCATATGTGGCCTTGGCCCTCTTAATACCAGCAACCAGCTCTTTTCTTGTCCTACTCAGCTCCTCTGAGTTTCCAGACCTTCAGAGCTTCCAGACCTTCAGAGCTTCATTTACAGACTGGACCATTGCAGGTCTTGTGTTCCACCTCATCTCTCCACAGCTGGACCAGTCCAGAGTCTTGTGGAACCTAAAAGTGAAAGAAGACGTGCACGAGTCAAAATAGTGTCACAGTGACTACAAATTACAATTTGTTGGCCTTTCTTTTGGAAAAAAATATTTTATCAAAAACAAGAGATTTACAATTGAAATTAAGTCAAGAAAATGTGACATTTGCAATTATAAATTACAGAAGCTCAATTTTTCTTTATTTCACTTATCATATTTTATAATTATTTAATGAGCCTCACCAGGCAGAGATTACAAGATGTGATGTATCTTACCTGCTCTGTTGAAGTGTGTGACAAGGGTCTTTGTGTCCAAAGCTGTTTAACAGCTTGCTTCCAGAGCTAACAGCTTCCTGTGTTAGGTAGAAAAATTAAATTAAATTAAAGACAAACAAAAAGCTTAGTGCTACTTCTTGTGCCATGCTTTCTAAAACAGTTATTGAATCAAGTATTTACTTATGTAGGTAAACATAGATGTTTTAAAACCTGTTAAAATACACCAGAATGCAGGAAATAGCAGCTACTTTATTTAAAAAGTTATGGGGGAGGATCCACAGACCTCGCACCAATATGTCCCCCTACAATAATTCTAATGCTAATACACACTGTGTTGTTCAAGCCAAGAGCCATTGTCAACACTGGGGGGGGCTAAAGGATCCAGTATACTGCCGCGTACGCGTAAACGGACGTACGCGTGTACTGTACGCAGAGGGTTCAGACATGATACTCCAGCGTACAACCCGAGCAGCTGCAGAGCAGCTTCACAGACAAGGGGCGTTTACCTTCGGGACAAATTGAGGTCGCCGATTGGTCATTTGCTGACACGCCTACTGGATTGATTGACAGGTTGGAAAAAAGAAAAAAGCGAGCGCTGGCAGCCTCCGCCGCAGCGGTGTTCTGTGTTTATATGTTGTTAATAAAAAGATCTAAAATAAAAAAAACAGGGAGCGCTGGTCCTGCAGCCCACACATCAGACCAGCCCAC